CCTCACCTCTGGGGAGCTGCTCAGCACCAGCCCAGCCCCGCTTGGCAGGGGAGGGGCGTCCGAGTTCTGGGAGAGCTTCTCCTCGTCCTCCTCATGGATCGGGGATGACGGGGACCGCAGGGTGCTGGGGCAGAGAGCAGCGGGATGGTGGACAAGTGCATGAGAAACGCCAACCCCACCAAACCAGCACCACATGAGGGTGAGCTTGCAGAAGTATGCCGGGGGCTGTGGGGCAGATGCGCCTGGGGAGGTGGGGCATCAGCAGGTGCGCCAGCCAGACATGGAGGCTCTCCACCTGAGCATGGCAGGGGCCTAAACATGGCTTTTTATTTCCAGAAGAAGACAACTGTGATGGTACATCCCTGGGGTGGGAGGGCTGGGCATGGGAAGCAGCAGGAGGGATTCCCATGTTTCTTTCTGTATCTTTGAAGGGATTCCGCCATGTGTATAAGTCTCGGGGGCCAAGGTTGGTTTTACCAAACCTGTACCTTTTTTATACTTTTCTAGTAAAAAACTAGCACATGTGTGCGGAAAGACTCAACGTGGCAGGGCTGACTGCCTGAGGCTAGCAAGTGTCCAAGGGAGCCACGATGGACCCTTGGCTGGAAGGTTCCTTACATAAGTGATGACAATCCTGCTCATCCAACATAAACGAGGTGGAAGACATGCACGTGGTTCACTGCGGCTGGGTTTCTGTTGCCATCACTAGTCCCATAGCAAGACGTGCCCATGTAACCAACTCCCAGAAAGTCCCAGAACCCTGAAACTCAAACAGCTCTCCTGGGCTGAGACAGCACTCACGCCCCTGCAGTTTCCTGCTCCTGTGTGGCCTGGGACAGGGGAGGACACTGGTGCCTCTGGCCTCCACTGATGCATTTTTCTCCTGCTGAGATCAACCTTACCGTGAGCCTAACCCGCTACTGGTGAGTCCTTCTCGTGAACCACCAAACGAAACACGTTATAAGATTATTTAAAACTACAAATAAACCTGCTTTGAGCTTATCTATTAGCATACTCCTCCCCTGCCCTGGCCCCCAAAGCAGGCAGGGTGGGTTCCCAGACACCGTTCCCCAAAGGGAATCCTGGCCCCGCCTCACCTGTCCGGGGATTTGCTCCTTGACTTGCCCTTCTGGTGACTACTTTCCACGATTCGATCAAGCCCAGCAAGTGGACAGCTGGCCTGGGACAGGCTATCCGAGACGCCAGAGTAGGTGATCTCTTCATAAAGGGGAGCCGAGGGGAGGGTCGGGGAGATGGCCCGAAGGCCGTTGAGAGCCTCAAGCAGGGAGATGGGCTCATAGCCAGGCGGGATGCTGTCCGAGCTCTGAGGGGACAAGAGCAGGTGAGGGATGGGTTGGCCAGATTCCCTGCCCACTGTTTGGGGCTTATGCCCCAGAGATGTTCTACTCCCCAGAACCTGCTTTCTGACCATCTCCTGTCTACTCCACCTTCCAGGGACTTAAGTCCTCCCTCCTTCAGAGGGGCACCAAGTACTCCAGCACAGCATCAGCCATCCTGCCCAGGGCTCCCTCGCCACCAGCTGCAGCACACAGCCTTGACTACCCAAAGGCCCTGACTGATGACCAGGATGAAGGTGGACAGGGCATCTGGAAGTCACCCCATCCCGGGCCTCAGATAGCCCCTACCTGGCTTTGTGTTCCTGCCTGGCGGGGGTGGAGAGAGGGGTTAGTGAGAGAGAGGAGCAGGTGGAGAGCAAAGCCATGCCAGAGTTGAGAGAAACCAGTGGGAGCCATGTGTGTTCTAGACCAGGGAGGACCTGGCCCCCCAGGGAGCTCTGCCTGACAACAGACATCTGGCCCAGCACAAGATCCTCCATGGACTTGGGGCAGGCGGGCATCCAACGGGTGACGTGTGCTCCGCATGATTCTGATGGGCCCCTGGTTCAGAACCTCTGCTTCCCCCTTGCTGGGAATGAATCACATCAACAGGCTGAGTCTTGCTTTAGGGTTAAAGGTGAAGGGAGAAGGGAGATGCCCGAGTGCTGGGGCATGTCAGTGCTAGGCCCCTGTAGGGCGAGGCAGCCACCTTCCTCATTCATATTAAATAAGGTGAAGGGCAAATGTTCCAAAGTACTCCCTACAGGAAACCCCCACCTGCCCATCTGTTGTTGTTTTTTAAAATATGTTTTTATTGATTTCTTTTAGAGAGAGAGGAAGGGAGAGAAACATCAATTGGCTGCCTCCTGCATGCCCCCTACTGGGGATCAAGGCCACAACCCAGGCAGGTGCCCTGACCAGGAATCAAACCAGTGATCTCTCTGTGCACTGGACAATGCTCAGCCAACTGAGCCACACTGGCCAGGGCCCACCTGCCCATTTGATTGGTGGGAAGGGCGACTGCCTTTTGGGGAGGTGGTGAAGCAATCCTGGGACCATAGGGGAGATAGAGGAGCCAGGGTGGGGGCCTCGCCCTCAGCAAGCACCTCATGGGTCCCCAGGTCACCTGAACCAGTGGTGCCTGCATTTGCTCCCAATCTACCTTCAACTTAAAGATAACTAATTACGCTGAACCCCATCACCCCCAAAAAAGTAAACAGCTATCTATAGGTTGAATCCCCAGTGACTTCCACCTCTACACTTTACCAGAGGCCCAGCCCGGCTGCCACATGCTGTCCAGCCCCCAGCCTGCTCCATGAGATGCAGGGAAAAATGCAAGAAAACCAATTTCTCGGCCCAAAGAGCTAAAACCCATGGGGCAGAGGGCAAGGGGTGCAGGATGACAAGCAAGCGCCAGGAGTGCTGTTTGCAAAATCTAGCAGCCACATTAGTCCCACCTCCAACATCATTGCACTGCCAGCAAGAAAACAAAGGGAAACGAGGGCACAGGGACCACGGGCAGAAGCAGAGCTGGCGGGAAGGGGCGGCCTGAGGCCGGTATGTTGCCCGGCAGCGGGAAACCAAGAGACTGGCTTTTTGCCGACAGACCTTTAGCTTTGCTTGTTCCACAAAACTCCTTTTCTGAGCAGGGAAGCCGGGACTGGGGAAAGTGGATTTGACAGATTAAATTAACCAAACGAGTCAGCCTGCGGTGAAAATGATTTCCCATACTTTTCATTGGCTTAATAATCAGGGTGAGGGGCAGAGACATGGCCACAAGGCCAAACACACTTACAGTTTCCCTTTTAGGTTTCTTGCTGGCCAGTGAGGCAGGGTGCGACTTTGATTTTTTAAAGGGACACTGTCAAGATAAAAATCATACATTTTACAAGTACCACCCTCCGTACGGTCCTGGAGCTGGCTGGATGGGGTCTGTCTGGTCTGCTGGGGCCTAGGAGTGCCGTCAGCCACGCTTCGCAAACAACGTGCACATGAACTATGGGGACCTTGTCAAAATGCAGGTTGGGCCTCGGGCTGGGCCTGCACAACTATGCAGCTTCTAGGAGCCATGCTGTGGTAGAGCCCACCCCATCCCCAGTGTCCACCCACAGTCTGGGTCACCTTGAGTAGCAGGTCCTGGGCAGGGTGGTGTGAGAGTGGTTAAGTGCTTCACACAAGTGGGCCTGGCTGAGCATAGGGAAGGGACCTGCAGGTCCCGGGCACCTCCATGAGGCTTGGCTCAGCCTCTTAAACTCATCACCAACTTCTAAGTCCTAATGGTGGCTTGGTGGAAAACTCAGCCCAAATCACCCCCACTTGATGATCTTAACAAACTCATTGGAGAAAATGCCTAGTTTGGGCTCTTTCTGGTCCTATGTGGAAATGGTTTGTACAGGGACCAGGGTGGACAGTAACAACCCTCCAGGGAGGAAAGTGCTAGAGGTTACCATCCAAGCTCCAGCCTGCCCTGCACTGTGGACAGCATCTCAACTTTCAAGATAAGAGGGACACACAGGAACTGGGAGAGGGAACAGACAAGCAACAATAAAAACCCACCACCTGAGCAGCCACCCTCTGTAAAAACAGAGTCTTCCGTTCCTGGGAGCAAATCACACCGAAGTGCTGTTCTTCTCTCTCCCAAAACTTATTGTTAGAGAAAGTGTGCAGCATCCATAACCAAGTCCAATGTCCAACATGTGTGGGCCTACTTTCCGAGTCATAAGCCCTGGTGTTAACAGGACCCAGCAAGCAAAACAGTGTGGCTGCCCCAGGAGAAGTGGGGGTGATAGGGACTCGCTCCCGGGAGGCAGCTTTGCCTTTGCTCCAGCTTCAAGAGCACACACTCAGATTTTGAAAGATAAGTCATAAATCTGAGTTTTAAGGGAAATTTCCAGATTTTTAAATGTTAACCCAATTTTCAGAAACATGTGGACCGAACACACCACACCCGCTCGCCCAGCCAGGAGCCCATCTATGGGTATTATAGTCCAGAGGGCTTGGGTCCTCTTTTCTTTTTAGAATTGGCTGGACCTCTAAAAATCACAGGGTCCAAATAACCTCAGATGAGAGCCAAGAAAATGGACTCACAGCTGACAATACTTGTAGCCAGCAGGGACCTGGGAGCTTGAGACTCGGGCCTGCCCAAAACCTGCTTCCTGGTCCTTCCTCCCCATCTGCCCACCTCAGCCTCTCCTTTCCACCTCCATCCCCACCTCTGTCTGTCTGTCTCTGTCTCTCTCTCCATGTTTCTTTCCATCTCTTTCTCCCTGTCTGTCCATCTCTTAAATATCTCCCTTTGACTCTTATCCCTACCGTCTCTTCTGTGTGTCTGCGTCTCTCTCCACCTCTGTATCTGTCTCCTGCCCTGTGTCTCTCCACATCTCTCTGCATTTGTGTCTACCTCCCTGTCTCTGTGTCTCTCCAATTATCTCTGTCTCTGCCCATACGTATCTATCTCAGTCTCATGTCTCTGTCCATCTCTCTCCAAAGCCAGAGTCCAACACCCCTCATCTGCCTGCAGCAAGGTCCAGCTCACAGCTTCTCAGGAGCAAGGGTAGTGAAGAGATGCCGAGATGCCCTCCTGTGTACCCAGGCTGGAGAGGTAGGCAGAGGACGGGTCACAGCCACCCTTTGAAGGAGATCTCACTTCCCAAACACACAGAGTGCCCCTGGCTGTCTGGTTTGGTGGGGCAATGGGGACAAACACTGTGGCTCCAGCTCTGTGAAGGGGCACCTGCCACTGCCAGCAATCCTGGCAGCCTGGATCACCCCACCCAGCCTCAGAGTCACCTGTGGGGCCACGCTGGGCAGATGAGGACAGAGGCCCAGAGGGCCAGCAGGTGGAGGTGCTGGCCAGTCTTGGTCCTAGACGGGTACTGCTCCAAGGGCAGGGCCCATGTGGTTTCCTTCCAGCCACCTGACCAACCCAGCCCCACTGGGAGCCAGACACTGTCCTAACGTGAAGGCAGGCCCTGGAAGCATCTGGATGCCTGGCAGGTCCTGCACACTGGACAGGGGCTTCCTCCAGACCCCTCCTCTCTCCACCCCTACACCCCCTAATGCAGGAAGGAAGAGGCACTTACAGAGTGCTCGTCATGGTCCACGCTCTGGGCTAGGATGGGGCTGAAGGAGACGGGGGACAGGGCTCCTGGCTTCTTCCTCACTGCCCGGATCTGCAAAAGGGCCCGGAAAGCTGTGGCAGAAGGGAGGGGCTGATGTCAGGCAAAGAGCAGCCGGTTCCAGCAGCACTGAGACCCTCCACGCTGCGGGGACACTGACCACCCACTCACGCCACAGTGGTCCTGGGACAAGCCACATTCCCAATTCAGGTAGAACAGAGTCACAATAAAACGTCCCCATGAGGAAGACAGAGACACTAGGATGGTTCTGCCCCAGCTCGAATTGAGCTTTTAGGGGCAGCAGACAGGACACAGCCAGCCTCTCACCTGCCACACCCAGACTATGCAGGGAGACATGTGTATGTGAACTTTCGTGACAGTAAAATGTCTACACTGGTGATGGAAGGAGACTTGACTTGGGGTGCGGAACACACAATACAGTGTATAGATGGTGTGTTGTGGAATTGTACACCTGAAACCTATATAATTTTGTAACCAGTGTCATCCCAATAAATACAATAAAAAGGGGGAAAAATTTCTGTCCAGTTCTTNGTTGTGGAATTGTACACCTGAAACCTATATAATTTTGTAACCAGTGTCATCCCAATAAATACAATAAAAAGGGGGAAAAAATTTCTGTCCAGTTCTTTTTTTTTTTTAAATCCTCATCTGAGGATATTTTTTCCATTGCTTTTCAGAGATGGGAAGGGGGGAAGGGAGAGAGAAAATCATGGATTGGTTGCCTTCCCCACAAGTACCCCGCCTGGGGCCAGGAATCGAGCCTGTAACCGAGGTATGTTCCCTTGGCCGGAACTTAACCCAGGACCCTTCAGTCTGTGGGCCAACACTCTAACCACTGAGCCAAATTGGCCAGGGCAAATTTCTGTCAAGTTCTAACGTCACTGCGAACACCTGCCCTGGAGCACCCTTCCTGGTCGTTCTGAAAGTCCAGTTTTCCTGGAGGTAGACTTTTGAGATCTGAACCTTTCAAATGTCCGCAGTCACTGTAGGTATTAACTACCTACATTAACCACCAGGTTTGGATTCGCTGTGAAACAGGTGGGAAGCTGATCGCCTCTGTCACACAGCACCCCTGCTACCCTTGTGTGGGGTCCCCCACTCACGCAGCCGGCAGATGGGGCAGTTGCTGGCCTGGTAGCGCAGCGTGTCGGCGCAGGAGTTGCACAGGCACAGGTGGCGGCAGGGCAGGATCAGCGTGTCCCGGAGGTCTGACAGGCACACCACACACTCATTGCTGTTGTCACTGTTCTCCTCATCCGAAGGCTGCAGGGACAACGAAGGCCTGAGGGTCAGCAGCCTTCCGAGAGCCAGAGGCTGGGCGCCAGCTAAGGGGCTGGGAGGGGGCCTTCTTACCCCTGGCTACCCCGCCAGCCACTCCCCACTCCCCCTGGGGGCTGATGTGGCAAAGGGGAGCCCAAGAGGGTGGAGGAAAGGTTACCACAGAGTAGGACACCTCAACAGACCCAGTGCAGAGTCATACTCCCTGGGCCCCAGGCTCAGATCCAGCCCAAGTCCACCCCACAGCAAAGAGGAGAATCTGTAGCCCCACCCAATGCATACCCCAAATCAAGGAACTCAGGTCTATTTCTATTTTCAGAACCAAAGAAAAAAATGTGGAAAAGACTCAACACTATGGACCACATCTTCCAGGAGGTACCCATTTACTTGGTTAAAACAAACAAACAAAAAATCAGACAAGTCTAACTTGTTTGAAATATTTTCATCAAGTAATGGCTGCTTCTGGAAAACAGAATTTGGATCAAGAGGCAGCAACATTCTAAAACAGGAATCAACAATGCCCGGCTGGTGTGGCTTAGTGGTTGAGTTTCGACCCAAGAACCAAGAGGTCACTGGTTGGATTCCCAGTTAGGGCACATGTGGGGGCTGTGGGCTTGATCCCCAGTAGGGAGTACGCAGGAGGCAGCTGATCAATATTACTCTCTCATTGATGTTTCTGTCTCTCTCTCCCTCTCCCTTCCTCTCTTTCTAAAATAAATAAAAACATATTAATAAAACAGTGACCAGCAAGCTACAGCCTGCTCTGTTTCTGTAAATCAAGTTTTATTGAAATATGGCCTCGCCCAGTTGCTTCCACATTGCCTATGGCTGCTTCGGCACTATAATGGCAGTGGAAAATAGATCCAACCAGACATACACAGGCCAGGCAAGTTGAAAATATTTACTACCTGGCCCCTGAGTCAGCCAACCTCTGGTGTAATACATATGAACAGAGCAGAGAGTGCTCATCGGAGGCTCCGGCCTGGCCAAGCTGCCCTGGCCTGCTTCTGGCCTGCTCCAGCTGGCGTGAGACTTCTGGAGATTTTTTTAAAGGTGGCCGTTTCATTTGTGCCAGTGTGCCTTTAAAAACAGTGACAAAAGCACCGGTTGATTCTCTGCTACCCTTCCTGGCTGTGCCAGGCACCGCCCTGTCAGCCACACCTCTGTCACAGCTACCACGGAATACCCCTCCCTCCACAGAACCACAGGGACTCGAGTCCAGGAGGGGCCAGCAGGCAAGGCGCAGTGAGACTCAACCATTGGTTGTAAGAACAGAAAGGCCACGGCAGCACCGGCTAAGCCCAATCAGGCAAGAAGGGACCCTAACAGGCAGCATCCCAGTGAATTTTCCAGTGAATTCAGCCACTGAACTTGCTGGGAAAGGACAAAATGTCCTTGGACTCTGTTGACTCTTTTTAAAAATTAAGAAAAAATCATGGAATCTGGGGTCCCAGGGCCTCCAGGAGAAGGCGTGGAAGGGAACTGGCTCATCTACCACCAACCTGCCAGGTCCTGGCCAGGGCTGGGGCCCCAGGCAAGTCACTGCCACAGGCCTGCTTCCGTGCAGGTGGAAGGAAAGCTGGGGCGCAGGGTCTGCCCAGAGTCACGGCATGTGCCCCACAGCACATACCTTTGTCTCCTGGTTGTTTTTGTTCTCGATGCCATAGATCTCCTGCAGCAGGTAGCTGACCCGGTCTACCTGGAGAGCAGAAAGGCATCTGGGCACTTGCCAGCCCCCACTCAGGGCTCCTCTGCACCCACTTGGCCTAACACCACCTCCCAGACACCAGGCTCGGGTCCTGGGAGCAGGCACAGTTAGGAATTCCGTCCACCCCCAACCCCAGGGAGTGGGTCCAATGCCAGGAGAGGGGCAAGGAGAACCTGCTACCTGCCCAGCCAAACCAGGAGCATGGGCAGTAGGGCTGGGGCCCAACTGGTCCTGTCCGCCAGAGAGGGCCTGAAGTCAAGCTCCACACAGGCCCAGCAACCATACACTCTTGAGAAAAAACACTCTGGACCCACCCATGACCAGCCCCACAAGCATGACCAGGTTCAGGCCTCACATTGGCCACGTTCAAAGGTGGTCTGAGCTTATGTTTCCCACAGTTCCATGGACCACAAACACCCCTCCCTGAGAGCGATAGTCCTGCCGATCAGCTCTCCCAAGACAAGTGCCCTGACCATCACTAGGGTCTCTGGCCCTTTGGCAACCCTCAGGGATGGATCTGCCAGAGTTCTCCTTACCCCTCTTTTAAAAAACTAGCCAACACCATTCCTGGGTTGTGGCTTATACACCTGAGCAGCTACATACAAGGAAAACCTAACCACGGATTTGGACATAGGCCCCCACAATGGCCATTGTTAAAAATCAGCCTCAATGTCAAGATCCAACATGGTTCAGTTCAGGGGACCCCTTCTCTACATCTTCACAGTGGAAGACTAATTCATCCCACTGTAGAACATGAGACTATCACTGAAGAGCTGTACCTTTCCACAGCTTGCACTTGTTCCAAGATACTCCAGCTTTCCTCTCAAATATTAAGGAAATCCATTTTTGCCCAATACTGAGGTACTGTCAGTAATCTATAAGGAGTAGGAGGAGGGGAGGCTGCAGTCTTAGTTTCCTGTTTCCTTCCTTTCTCTGTCCATTCATTCATTTATTCATTCAGCAAACATTTACTGAAAGCTTACTATATTCATGCTGGACAAGACTCAGGGCCACAACAGTCAATGCTGTTGTATGTGGTGAGTATGCAATCACACACATGTACCCAGTGACCCTGACTTCCCAGAGCCCACAGCAATGACAAACAAGTCAATGGGCCTGTCACCAGCTACCTCACAGCCACCATGGTGGGCAGGGAGAAGAATCCACGGAAGTTACTGGAGAGGGTGTATGCATGAGTCTTTTAAATCAAAAGGGCTCGTGACATTTTCTCTGACAGACTTACAATTTGCTTCTGCTTCAACGGCTTCACAGAGAAGCTACCGTCCACATGCTGCAGGGAAGAAAACACAGGTTAACTCGGCTCACTGGCACCACTCAGCCAGCTGAAGGCCCTTCCTTGGTCAGTCCATATCTATGGCTGGAGAAAGGAGGGACCACGTTAAGACTAAAGAGCCAGGCCAGGTTTTCTCAAATGTGGCCTCTGACCTGGCCTCAACACGACCCAGATAACCTTCTAAAGATACTGCCGCCTGGGTCCCACCCTGACCTACAAAACCCAATGCTCCCCAAGTAGCTCTCAAGCACACTCAAATTTATTACTATTAGCCAAGTTCTGATGGTGGACAAGAGCCTCCCACTGGCAAGAAGCAGCACCTGGATGGCAAGAATTAAACACTGATTCTGGACCTCTAGTCACACAGCACAAGAACATGCACATGCTGGGGCCCAACTGGTCCTGTTCACCAGAAAGGGCTTAAAGCCAAGCTCCACACAGGAAAACCCAAAGGTCTAAAAACTGTGAGATCAAAATAGAGCAAACACATTCAGTGGTATCTAGGGAGACGTACTGCTCAGAGTCAACAAGGTTAATTAAGGTACAAGATCTGAGCTCTTGCACCACCACCAATTATCCTTCTGAGTCAACCGAGGCTAGCATTTGGCATTTTCTGGTAAAGCTAATGGGTTCCTACAGAATTTTCTAGTATGCTGGACTCCAAAAATAATGCAGTTTCTCACTGGGCTCCAAACTGGAAGCACAGAATGGAATGTTTGCCAGTGATGGCCCATCCGCTCGGCCAAAGCAGCAGATGGGTAAATAGTTACTATCTCTTCCAACAGGCCAGGCTTAGGGAGTACAGCTGACAATCCCAGAACTGGAGGGGCAGAGGGCCAACCTCTGCCCAAGGCACTTGGATCACCACAGCTCCAGGATGCCAGGGACAGCACTGGGCAAACGGACCAGAAAGGTCCAGACCTGGCTATATTGACTCCTGGGTTATTTGGAATGACCCAGGTCGCAGGAATGGGCCAGACTCTGCTCTTAGGGCTCTCAGGGCTGCAGACATACACACAGCTGAAGAAGCTGGGGGTCAACAGGATGCCCAGGAGTGGTGGGAATTCCAGAACAAACAGCTTGAGCCTGGTTTCCTCATGGGGTCCCTGATTCTCATCCACATAGGCCACAGGCTGATGCTGAAAACACGACAACTGCAGAGCGCCAGCCAGTGTCAGAGAGCACTGGGGGTAGGGGGGTGATGTGCAGTATTTTTAAACATGGGACACACCCCACTACCTCCAGTAAAGGTCTTGGTGAGCAGGGACCCTGTCCCAACACAGCAGGGCACTCACTCGCTGCGTGGATGCACACACAGAACTGCCTGGCCCCAGGACCAGTAGTGACAAGCAAGTGGGACTCTCTCTAGACCCGGCAATGTCCTAATGTGGAGACAGTGGTGAGACAGACCATCCTCATCACCAAGGCCCACCCCGTGAACACGGCCATAAAACATGAACACCTGGGCAGCCTGGGGACTCGGGTCTATGTGGAAAAATGGGGCAAACACCTAAGTTCAAATACATGTAACACTAGCTAAAGGTACCATTAAAGGAATCCTTCCATGTAAGTGGCCTCTTTACATGTGGGGCATCCCTAGCTAGGGCCCTCAGAAGACCCTGGGTGTCTTTTCCGTCCATCACCCACAGAGGGTCTAGGACCATGCTATGCACATGGCACCCTCCTCCACCCACTAACATTCACTGAGCACCTACTACATGCTGAGGAAACGACAAACCAGGGGCCATTCTGCCCCACGGATATCAGATGAGTGAGTACAACAAATGTCTACCCACAGGTCAGGCAGACTCCAGTGGGGAGGGAGGTCTGCCCAGCCCTGAGGGTCCAGGGGGATGTAGCCTTTGGGAGGTGAGGCAGGACCACCTGTGAACATTCAGGGACCAGGCAGGGACAGAGATGCAGGATCCTGGGTCTGGGGGGAAAGGCCTAGGACCTAGGAGCTGGTGGCCCTGAACAATCCCTTCAAACCCCAAAGGAAAGCTGGTACCAGAGCCCTCTAGGTGGGCATCCACCCCATGTGCTGGCAGGTTGTGGGGGCTTCTAGAGGTCTAGCCTCCCCAGAACATGCCCTCACCACACACCACATGCACTTTGAAAAGCCTCCTAATGGTGATGCTCGACTTCAAGGCCCAGCCTCCAAAGAAGTATCTCCCCTGGAGCCTGGAATGACTGGGGTACCTTCCATCTGCCCCGGGCTTTGGGCACTAAACCCACTTAGCCTGATATGACCCCCAAGTTCAGACTTCTGGTCTCTGCCCACAGCTCCCAGGTCAAGGGGCAGGATGGCACTTACCTTTTCAAAGGCAGCCAACAGCACATGGGCATGGCCGGTCACCTCCACAACTGCTCAGGAAGGAGATAAATGAGAGTACTCAGAGCGCTGACCTCCACCCCTTCTCTTTCCTTCAGCAGGTGCTTTCGGAGCTCTCAGCTTGGAAGGCTGTCCTTATCCTGCCTTCCTCTGCCTGAGGGTCCCTGCCTCCCTCTGGCTCACACCTCACCCCTCCTCCAAAGTGACCCCTCGTAACACCTGTTGTCTCACTCTGAACAGAAGGGACATTTCAGGCAAGACTGAGGAGCCAGACTCAGCCAGTGGGCCTGGGGACGAGCCCCCCGACAGAGCTCCAGCATTCACACCGTAGGCTGGGGGTCTGAAGCCCACCACAGTGGGAGACCCCGCAGGACTTCCTGGTCAATTAGGAAATCAGTGTGGCCTTGGGGAGGCCTGTCTAGCTCCCTGCCGCTCTCTGCTGCCTCCATCATTGTGGAGCAGACACCAGAATCAGAGGCCTGTGTAGCCGATGTTACTGCAGTGAGAGTGGGGCCTGGCACAGGGCCTTGCCATGGGGGGTGGGGAACAGGCTGGCCAGGAATTCATGAGCTGGAGTGAGACCCCACAGCCCCAGGCAGGGGAAGGAACAAGGGGACCGCAGAGAGGAGATGGAGAGCTGGCTGTTTGAGCCCCAGGCCCTAAACCTGCTAAGAAGGCTCCCACATCCTTCATCTCTTCTGGATAAACTCCTCCCTGCTCACTGAGGGGAGGAGGGCCTTGGGAAGTGGCTCCACAGGGTCCACTTGCTGGAAGGGAGAACGGAAGAGCAAAGGCTTCTCACCGTCCCCTTCATCCACCACGGCCTGGATGACCACTGGGAACACTCCCCGGTCGAGGTCAAAGTTCAGCTGAGGAAGAAAGGAGGTGAGAATGGTCAGACTGTGCTGGGAGGAGGAGGTGCAGGGAGGGTGGCATCACAGAGCTTGCGAGGACAGACAAAACAGCGAGGAAGACAGAGGCCTGGCTGTGTCTTTTTCTTTTGTGGTAAAATAGATAAAAATCATTAAAATGGCAAATCTGTGTTCAATTCAGCGGCATTAAGTACATTCATAAGGTCATGCAACCATCACCAGCATCCATTTCCAGAACGTTTCTCTCATCCCAAACAAGAACTCCTGTCCCCATTAAACAATTACTCCCATCCCCCCCAGCCCCTGGTGAATCCCCCACTCTACTTTCTATGAAAATGAAATCATGCACTGTTTGTCTTTTGTGCCTGGCTTCTTTCACTCAGCATGTTTCCTAGGTTCACCCATGCAACAGCCTGTCGGTTCGCCCTTCCTTTTCAAGGCTGAGTAATATTCCGCTGCATGGCTTGACCAGTCATCTCTCAATGGACATGGGTTGTTCCCCTTCTGGGTGCCACGACCAGTGCTGAGATGAACACTGCTGGACAAGTATCTATTTGGGCCTGTTTTCAGTTCTCCTGGCCACACCAGGCATGGAAGTACTGGGTCACATGGGACCTCTGTGTTCAACCTTATGAAGAAAGGTACCTGGCGTGGCCCCAAAGACAAAGATGGAAGGAAAGTGAAGATCACATGGGTGGTCTGAACTCAAGGAGAAACCTCCTGTCACTTCTCCTTCTCCAGCTTCAACTCCTTGTGGTCCCTGATGTTCTCAGGCCGAAGGCCATGCTCCACCCCACACATGTCCACTTGGGAGCGGTCTCCAGATCTGCTCACGAGTGGGGGCTATGGGTCAGGTCACACCGAGCCCACAGGACAGAGGCAGCCAGCTGAGGACACCCACAGCAGGGGCTGTACGGGGAGGCCTGGAAGGTGCCTGTGGGTTCCAGGCTGTCAGTGGGAGGCAGAACTGGGAGGGGAAAGGGTGGCAGGGTGCTGGAACAGGGTCAGAAAGAACTGCCAGGCTGGAGTGAAGCTCCCTGACCTAAGCCTCAGTTTCCCCATCTGCAAAAAAGGGATAAACGCTGTGGCTAATGCAATGACTCTGAGCACAGTGCCTAGGAGAGCACGCAGTGAGCACCAGCCATTTGAAGCTCTATGTGTTCAGGCAGTGGAAGCCAAGAAGGGCCTCATAGAAAGACATAGGGCTTGGACCCCAGGAACAAAGGACTCTGTGGGGACATGTGCAGGCTAGCTACATGTGGGGAGGTGGAAGACGTGTCTAAGCCCATCTAGGACCCAGCCAAGCCTCATGCTCCCCCTAGCTTCAGGGTAGAAAGGCTGCACTACGGAAACCTGGATTTATGGGAGGGAGGGAGAGAGGGAGGGACCCCCTGAGATGACCTGGCGGGGGGGGGGTAATCACCCAAGATAGGAGTTACACATGCAGGGGACAGGGGTTCCTCTGCAAGCTTGTTCCTACCCCCCCTACATTGCTACAGGGAGCAATCTTGTCAACGACCATTCTAAAATTACCCTCGTGATGATGGTGCTGGGTGTGATGCACAGGTTCTGCCTTTCCAAGGGCTGTAATTAAGCCCAGGAAGGGGTAGTTTAGGTAACAGAGCCAGACCGGGAACGGAGCTTTGTGCAATTCGGCCCACGTGCTTCTGGCCAGCTGCTAGAGCATAATCCTCGGTGCTGATGTGGGCAACTTAGTGCTCTGAGGAGCCACCAAGTAACTTGCGCTCTTTCTCCCTTGCACATTAGGCTGAGTGCTGCCTTGGTGCAGCTGACTGTCCTGTTTTGCTGGTGTTGAACTAACAGTGGTCTGGAGAAGTGTATGCAGTGCCTACACCACCAGCAAGAAGGGACTCTGGCCCTTCTCTCCTCCTGTCCCCTGGCAGACAGGGATCAAAATGGACAGCCTGAGCTAAGTCAGCACTCTGTACAAATCCTGATGGACACCTTAGAGCAAGGAATGTTTCTATCTCCCGGTGACAGATGGGAAACGCAGGCTCGCAGAGGTAGCGTAACTTGCCCAATGCTTCATGGAGAGTGACAGAGCCAGGGTCGCCTCCAGGCCTCGCCCACCTGTGTCCTCAGTTCCCGGGATAGGCCCCCAAGACACCTCGGGTACTTCCGTCCTTAAGACTCTGCTCTTATCTAGCCTGACCCATCTGCCCAGATCTGTCTAAACCCCACAAAAAAGGTACAGACAGCTGCTATCCACTGGTTCAGCTTTTCAGGTGGTGGCACCCCAATTTTCCTTGGGGAAATTTGGGAACGACCTCTCTCCCGCCCTGGGTCTGTGTTGTCTGCCTAGAGGATGGCACAAGCCTGCTTCAAATAGGGACCACAAAGAGAGGCACTTGGCCTAGGACAGTCCATCCAAACACTCGGACCCAGGCTGCTGGTCTACAGAGCACTAGCCTGAGAGCAAGGCCAGTTCACCTAGAGCAGACCCCACCTGGATGATATGGATCTTGACCTAGGCCCTGGAGGAAACCACAAGCCATCTAGCTTTTCAGAATCTAAGCCAATAAACTCCTGGTTTTTTTTTCTTAAGCTAGACCTAAGTGTGTTTCTGTCTCTTACAACCAAGAAAGTCCTAACACAGACACAGCTTTGACGTCTCTGTTGCAGCAGCCTTCCCAGAGCGTCCTGCTAACATTCAGCATGGTGATCATGTGTTGTCAACAGAGCCTAGGGCATCCTACACGTGGTCTTCGGTCAACTAACTCAGCAAACTCCAGCCAGCAAAAGACCTACACTGGTCAGCCCAGCACTGGGCCAGGGGACGGAGATGGATATGACGAGGGCACTGTGACCCCAGATCTCCCCAGGTTCTATGGCCCAGGCCTTGCGCTGTCCTTGGGGTGCCCTGACAGGACAAGTCTCCACACACAGATCTGCCACCCCACCCCTGCCTGCTGATTACCTCATCTCCCAGCCACCCTCCCAGCCACATCACACAGGAGGCCCAGGGGAGGGAGCCAATGAGTGTGGGGACCTGGGGATAGAGGACCATCTTCCCCCAAGTTCCTGCTCCACACAAGTCATACACCAGAGCTAAGCATGCTGGAAAAGGACAGAGGCTCCCACCCACCCCAGAGAGGCTGAGGGAGACGTTTATTTTTACCGTAAGGAGAGCAGCTTGCTTAGGGAAAAGCAGCCCCCTACGCCAGGAGAAAGAGCAGCAGCTGATGTCAGCATGAGTCGCTGACAGGCTTCCACAGCCCTGGCGGCAACCTCGCACTCTGCCACCCTTGGGTTCTTCTGGCATAGAGAAGCCCACCGTACAGGGTCTCTGCAAGCCCCAGGCCAGATGGACACCAAGAAATAGGGAAAAGGAAAAGGCAGAGGAAGAAAGGGACGTGGCTTTGACTAAAATAAATGGAACCTCAAGAAGGGGCTGGTAGGGAAACTAGCAAAGAAGCCACTCCGGCTTCGAGGCAATCTGTGAGTACTGGCCTGGAAAGGCATCACAGTACGATTCAATAAAAAAGTAAAAATTATACATGGGGGGGCAGGTAGGGAAATCTCCATACCTTATTTCTTAATCTTGCTGTGAACCTAAAACTACTCTTTTTTAAAAAGCCTGCAAAAAAATAAGATTTAAATTATAAAGCAAATTGTAAGACAAATGAAAACAGGCACTCAAACAAATACTTGGATACAAAATAGCACCATTATTCCTAATTAGATACAAAAGGTCAAATAGTGTATGATTCTGTTTATATGAAATGTCCAGAATAGGCAAATCCAAAGAGACAGAAAGTAGAGGAGTGTTTGCCAGGGGCGGAGGGGAGGAACAGAAGTTAACTGTAAATGGGCACCAGGGATCCTGTAAGGATGGGAAGTGGATTCTAAAGCTGGATTGGTGATGGCTGTGATCATCGATTTACTAAAATCACTGAATTAAACAACAGGTAAGTATTATGGTATGTAAATTATACCTTAATAAACTAGTAAAAACAATGAAACAAAATAATCCAGACATGTATATAGTGTCAGCGCTCACACTATACAGTCTGTTTCTCAGTATCCATGAGGGACTGGGTCCAGGACCCCCCTCAGATGCTCAAGTCCCTTCAATAAAAGAGAGTAGGACTTGCATATAACCTACAAGCATCCTCCCATATACGTTTAATCGTCTCTAGATTATTTACAATACCGAATACAATGTAAATGCTATTGAAACAGTTGTTATCCTGCATTGTTTAGGGAATAATGACAGGAAAATAGTTTGTGCATATTCAGGACAAACACAACCACCCCACTGAAAGCCTAACTACACAGTAAACATCAGCAATAACATAACATTTAAAAAAGTACTTTCCATCTGTGTGGAATCCATGAATGCAGAACCCACAGACACAGGGCTGACTATACATGTCCAGTGTGTGCATTATACACCTCTCTTCCTTACACCACAGCCCTCTGCAGAAATACCACTGTCTTCAGCTTGATGGGCATCTTTTCTGATTTTTCCTCAAGGATTATATACACATACATTACACCCACAGAAATGGTTTTGTGTATTTCTGTGGTTGCCACACACAAGGTTCTGCATTCGTTTGTAACCTGCTCTTCTCCAAGCCCAGAAGGGGCTTTCCACATCAGTATGTACAGGATATACAGATCTCTTTCATGTGCTTTAAGGCTACATGGCATCTCATAATAGAAGTGAACCAGGGAGCTCACATTATATATAGATGGGTAGGTCCCATAACATCAGTGAACTAAGCAATCCCCTCATGCTAGATGTGTAGGTTGTTTCCAATTTTTACTATTACAGACAGAGCTGTAACAAACGCTCTTCACATCCTGGAAGTACTGTCCCCAGCTGTGGAACCACTAGGTGGAAGGGATCCTGCCATGCTGCAGTCTCGTGGTCTCGACAACATACCAAAGCTGGAGCCTCTGCTGCTGCTCTCTTGCCTCCATCACCCAGTCCAGCCAACACTCAGACCGAACTGCACTCCACAGTCCAGCGCATGCCCAAATGAGCACACAGACCATGGTCAGCAGCCACTCCTGATGCTTATCAACCATGCAAGGAATTTGAGCAAACAGGCCCCACTGTGCTTGCCCCCCCAGAGGGGAGGAAATTCAGGCCAAGGGAAAGGGGGGATAGCCAGGAGGTTACCTCGTCATCTTTCCACTCTGAGAAGTCAATCTTGAAGGAGGGCAGGGAGAAGTGCTGGCTCACGCCCCTCTTGTAGTGGACAGTCTCAGACTGCAGGGCAGGGCTTTTGGGGCTGTACCTAAAGGGGCAATGAGAGAAAGGATGTGAGACTCTGCCAGGAGCAAACGCTCTGCTGCGTCCTGTCCTCAGGGCAATCCTTACCGCCACAGGACCTGAGGCAGGGGCTGGCAGGCACTGGTCTTCTGGGGACCTAGTAGAAACCTGACTTGCAAGTCCCAGCCCTTCTCTGGTGGAGCAGGAAGCCAGCCTATGTGGCCACGTGGCCCTCACACCCCAAGTGCCTCCAAGGCCTCACTTTGCTCACCACCAGCTCTGCCCGGGTGCAGCCTGATTATGACTCTTCCAGAGCCCACACCTGCCAGATAACCTGGCTACCTTTCCAGATATGGCTATGCCTTTCCATTTGGCTTTTACAGTTTGTTGGCTCTTTTGAACAAACACGGTACAAAAATGTACACAGTGCCAAGTGCCCCCCCACACACACCCTTGTGCCCTTGTATTTGCTCCCAGCCACCTGCCCATCCACAACCCAGGCATCACTCCTGGGAGAGCTGAGGTAGTCACACCTGTATGCACGGCTGTCTCTTCTTTAATATTCCAATAGCAGCCCACCTACACTCTGCTCCTTCATTACTCGTTCACCCCGAGCTGTCCCATAGCCACTGCATATAGAGGTGCCATGTCCTCTGAATGCTGCATCGGTTCCACTGCAGTTTTACTCTGACTCAATCACCCTACTAGTGGACACCCGGTGGTTTCCAGTATCTGCTTTTCTGAACAATGCTTCCAGGACTCTCTTCTGCATACATCTTAGCCACAAACGCAAGCATATCCCCACCATAAATTCCCAGAAAAGGAATGGCTGGGTCAAAGAGTACACACGTTTTCAATTCTGATAAACAGGCATCTACCCATTCAAGAATCCAACACACAACCCTTGCCCGCCTCTCTCTGCCCCACCCCACACTTACTGTCCCTTGGGCTTCTGTCTGTCTCTAGGACAAAGCATACTCTTGAGGGCCTTGGCATGTGTGGCCTGAGAAACTAGCAGTGCAAAGTTGCCAGTTTGAGTCTTTTTGCACAGTTGCTCTTGTGCAAAAAGACCCAAAGCTGGAGCTCTCAACCACTGCTCCAACCCCAGATCAAATCTGGCCTCCACATGGTTTCCTCCCACAGGACAGAGAAGGGTGCATTTCTGCCTGTCCCATCCGGGTCTGGTCCCACAGACTAGAGGCTGGTTGGCTGTGGTCATGCTGAAGCTGCACATCTCAAACTTTTGGGGCCCAAAGGACCCTTATTTCAAATAAAACCTCTGAAAGTTCAAATATATAATTCAGACATACACAGAGCTGCTGAGGCCTTGCCCTGCCACCCTAGGCCCACCGTGCACCACAGGGACTCACACAGCAATCCCATTCAGGAACTCCTCCACCGCCTGGCAGTAGATGGTGATGGCCACCCGGGCGTCGGCATCAAAGGTGAACTCCAGGCTGTAGAGGACACGGGGCTTCTCGCTGTCCTCGGTGGGGCTGTTGACACCATCTTTGTACCTGCCAGGCAGGCAGAGGGACAGGAAGTAGGTCAGGGTACATTCCTACAAGAGCATCCCACCCTGCACAGCGCACACCCCAAGGGGCCCCTGAGTCGGCTGCCTGGCTGCATTCCACCTTTCTAGAAACATGGAGGCCCACTCCCTGTTTGGACAATAAGGCCCAACAATGCAGGGTTCTCTTTCCCTTGTCTCCTACCCGCAGAAAGGGAGACAAGTTCTCTTAGTTTAGAGATGGCCCCCGAAGTTTCAGGTCTTCCGGGTTTAATGCAGTTTCTCAACCCTGACAGTCAGAGCTGCGTCACTCTTGGCTGTGGGGGCGCCCCGTGCACTGCGGGGTATTCAGCAGCCTCCCTAGTCCCGAGGAACACCACCCTCTCCAGCTGTGACAACCAGAGATGTCTCCAGACGGCCCAATGTCACTGGGGTACAGTCACCCAGCAGAGAAGTCCTAGTGTAAAGGAAGTAGTGAGGTCAAGTGTTACCTTACGAGCCGGAGTGAATCTTTTCGGATGTTCACCAGGCTCCTCAACGTCTTCACCGGCTCATGGGGAGCAGGGGTGACATACGGAAACTAGGAGGGAAAAACCCACAGCAATCCTGCATGACTCCCCAGCACGGCAGGAGACAGGAAACGGGGGGTCATCAAAGCACCCGCCAGGGACTCTGGGGCCCTCATGCCGACCACTAGGTGACATCACGCTCATTCACATCAGAGTAAACCGCAGGCAATACAGCCCGCACTTGGGAGAGCCGGGACCAGAACACCTGAAGGGTTCAGGCTATTCCAGGAAGGACTCTCAGTGAATGTGACCTGGCCTGAGGGATGTGAGGGAGCAATTAAGGTTGGGGTTGACAGGCCTCATTCCTAGAGGCGGGACCCAACATCCACTGCTGCCCTGAACGAGGCAGGCTTTCCATTCAAGGTTGATGGTCAATAAAGATTTCGGTAGGAACACATAGGGGTGCATATACGCGCACACACATATACACACGAGTGCTGTAAAACTGGTGACATCTGGAAAATCCACACTGGTGGATGCACCAGTGTCAGTTTCCTGCTGTGAGAGCGCACTGGAGTTTTATAAGATGTCATCACCAGGGAAAACCGGGTAAAGGGCACACGGGATCTCTCTGCATTATTTCCTACAACTGCAGGTGAATCTATGCTGGTGTGAAGTAAAAGTTAAAACAGATTTACAGGAGGCCTGTTGAGCCAGGCCCTGAGTCAAAGCTGAGGCTTCACAGATGTGGAAGGCGAGGTTCTGTTCTCACTCTCATGGGCTTGGGAGGGTGGTAGAGGCCAGCACTCTGGGTCCTAGCCCCTAGCCTCCCATCCATTAGAGGAGCCATTCAAGGCTTCAAGTCAACCAGCTGTTCCATGGCTAAAGCAGCCTGGAGAACCCTGGTCCAGATGACCCCAACCCTAGGTCAGGGAAGCCCCAGACTCAATAGCCCCAGGTGATGGAGCCCAGTGTTCCCTGAGAGACAGGGCCTACACTTGACCCCCCACTCACGCTGGGGACCGAATCTACACTCAGTATCCCCCATCAAGAGCCCTCTCCTGCCCCTCTCTCTCTTTTTAATCTCCATTTGTCAACTGTTCTCTTCTTTATTGTCCGCATACCCCCAGGGAATGGGGCAGGAACTGTCCTCTGTCCCCAGCCCTTGGCAGGGTCCCAGGGACACAGTAAATGCCAAATGTACATTGGCAAAATGGAATACAATGAGTGAACGTGTACTTCTCTGGTGACTGGTTAAAGGCAAACTTGTAAAAAATATTCACCAGCCCTTTACATTTCTCCTTTTGATCATATCTCCTGCCCACTGTTCTACTGTTCTTTTTTCTTTTCAAAGAAAGTCATTCAAGGGGCCTGGGATCAACACCCTAACCTTCCGTAACCCCGTAGCATGGATGCACCAGGCTCAGTAGCAGCTGCACTGTGCCCAGTGACCCACCCTTGGTCCCCGGCTCTAAGGAGGCATGGCCAGGACATGCCCCATGCACACATCACGTGCACACTACCAGCTGGCAGCTCTGCCCAGCCTGGGGTGACTCAGTGCCTACTCATCCTGAAAGCTGGGACACAGATAGATGGCTGAAGGCAGAACCCT